TATGTACAGTAATAGGAACAAGTGGAGGAATACTAGGTGGTTTAGTGATTTATGATAATATAATAGAGAGAACAGGAAGGAATAGAATATTTATGCCTAAAATAGAATATGTAACAGATAAAATATTAACAAAAATAGGAATAAATAAAAATGAAATAATGATTAAAGATATAAATGAGAGTATAAAGGATAAGGTGGTACAAATAGAAGAGATAAGTAAGGATATAAAAGAAATAAATAAATTATTAACATCAATAGAGTATAAACCAGATAAGGAATTATTAGAAATCTTTAATAATGAAATCCAAAAAGATATATTAAAGGAATTGAATAAGATTCAAGAAGAACAAAAGAGATTAGACCAAGCATATAAAAATATAATAAAAAAAAGATAATAGATTTGTGTGTTTGATTTATAATTAATGGATAGGAGAAAAACCTTCCATCCCCTCCTTAGACAGGGAAAGTGAAAGAGAAGGAGGGGAAAAGAGAAGAGAAGGGAAGAAAAGAACGTTCTTAGTTTAAGAGGAAAAAGTATTAACCTTCGAAGTTAAGGAATAATGGTTCGAGTCCATTAGAACGTAATAAGGATTATAACTTAAAGGGAAAGTGCTTGGCCGATAACTAAGAGATAATGGTTCGATTCCATTTAATCCTACAAAAGATCGAAAAAAAAAAATAGGAAGAAAGGAAAGGAGATGAATAATTTAATAATATTAATGATAATGACAACAATAATAGTATTTATATTATTATTTGTAAATTTAATATTAGGTGATAATAAACCATATATAAATAAATTATCACCATATGAATGTGGATTAATACCATTAGGGGATTGTAGAGCGACTTTAAATGTACAATATATATTAGTAGCGATATTATTTATAATATTTGATATAGAGGTAATAGTATTATTACCATATGGGATAACAATAAATAATATATACACATATTGGATAATGATAATATTCATAATAATATTAACAATAGGATTTTATTATGAAATAAGTAAAGGGGCATTAAAATATGTAAAAACAGCGGGAGATTAGCTTAATTGGCAGA